TTAAGGAGTAAAATAACATTCAGTTGTGCCTCAGGAACATCAGATAGCTCGCTTGAATAGTGTTTTTCTTTAAACCACCATTTAATATTCTCCGTATAAAGTCGATTTAAACACATGCTGAGTTTACAAGCTCACAGTGAACTCGCGCGCTTACAGTGTGTGTGAGTGCTGTACGCAATTTCTAAATAACAACTGCTTAAACAATAATAGTGAAAAATTAAGTTATTTATTTACCCTGGCTATCCTCACTGAGGATCCTCCTGCATGAATTTGCGTTGTGTATGTGTGCTTGTGGGAGAAAGCGAGAGTACTCAGAGCAAAAACCTATGCATACGAGGTGGATAACGATGAAATGGATTTAATTCATAGCCCATGTCTATAACACCTGGGTTTCCCAGGCAATTTCCTATCCATTGAATAACCAGATTCCATCACGCTTCGCTTCGGAGGGCTGATGAGATTGGATGCATTCTGGGCGATTTGGTCGGAGACTTTATTGAAAGGAGTGTTTAATTGGGTCATGGGGTTCCCACAATATTTCAGAGGCAAACCGGCATAAAGTAATGATTCGTAGGGTGCAGTGTATAAAGTCGGTGACACATTCATTGCAAATGGGAAAGGCTCATAAAGGTAACTGACAAAGCATTCTGAAAGCAGACTATAATTGTCAAAGGTAGAAATGAAACATTCTAAAGAGTAGAAAGATATATAGAGACAGAAAACTAATTCAGATGCATCCATCGTGCTTAACTGTTACCTGTGATTGTATCATGGGGCTCTCTCATCTCTCATATATTTCATTTATCGGCAATGTTGCTAGTCGGCATGACTGTGCCTGTAACATATTCATATGTTCAGAACTTCCAAGTTGCTTCCATAACATTCCTAGCAACCTATGCACATTCAAAGGTCAGCAGGTTTAAAAGAAACAATTCGCAGTATTAGGTACTCGGCATATAATGATGCATCGATTGCTCGATTATAATTGGTTCTTATAGCCACAGTACGCGTGTAAAATTATACGTGCAAGCGTTATTTACGCTATATGCAAATATTACGCCAATGTGGCATTTTGGTTACTGCAGTAGATAAAGCTATGCAAAGATAGATATAAAAAATATATAAATAAAACGACTGCAAAAACGAGACAGAGGATTGACATTTTGAATAGAAAGTCAACCAAATAGAAATTAATTGAATCGCTTGGGGGAGGGAGGGGGGGGTGAATTGTTACCTGCATTGTGGACTAGAAGACTCATGGCACCGTCTCAAGGTTGGCAAGTGAGACCTCAGTGAAGAGAGTCGACTGACCCCATAATCATAATAATCACCGTCATCCATCTGGGGGCCGTAAAATAAGTATTGTTTATGATGAGACCGACCCCCGCCAAAGGAACGAGGAATTTCCACCATTGGCTCCAGGGCTGCCAATGGAACTGATTCCTGCCCCGTTCCTTGCCGGCACGGGGAGTGACCGGTGCCTTAGATTTGACGCATGGAGTCTCTTTCTTATTTTCAGTCTCTTTCAATCCATTCCTGCCTCGGTCACTCTCTCTCTTTCACGCACAAACTCCCCCATAAATTATACAACGAACATCTGCCCCAAATGTTACATAAATTACGGCAGCCCACACACCACTCACAACACCCAGTCACGACACACAAGCGAATCAACGTGCCGATTGGCGGTTTATCGCTTTCATGAAGATCCACTACATCCACCGTGCATTAAGAAGATATATTATGGATGAATACGAGGTGCGAGATTGGTCGTTACATAACAGGATCGTGCGAGGTGATGGTGGCGGATTGGGGCGGGAGGCTTAATTCCAGCAGTGTAGTGAACGTGGTTGATGATGTAGATATTTGTGATGTACGACTGATGAAATATACTGATGTACTGTACAGACAGGTATACAGCCGTTCTGCGATGGTTAACAAACGGGGCTCGCAGTCTAGAGGTGGCCGTTTTTTGACTCAATAATAATAATGAAACAATAACAAGTATTTTTAGATCGCTTCATTCATGCAAACTGCATCTCGCAACGCTGCACAACACGGGGAGGCGTTTATACCCCCACCCCCCCACCGATTCGGCAATTAAAACTAGCAACTTTCAACAAAAACCCAGCAATGTCAACTGGCAGTCCATACTCTGTGGTTCTTTCGGTAAAGTCACGTCGGTAGAAAGAGAATAGATCACGACGTTTCGATCGCAAACACAAGCGATTGTCATCAGGTGGGACAACCACAGCAAGAACAAAACTTGTCCATGGCCATTGTGGTTTCAATGAGCCCACGCTTCTCAATGTTTGTCCCCCCCCCCTACGCTAGGGGTGGAAGCTTGCACACAGACGCGTGGCTCAAGCCAGAAACCGATAAAAGCTCCCAGGAGAGAATGGGATTTTGTGCTCCGATTCAGCCGTGAGGACAAACAATTTAACTCAACGCCCCCCCCCAGCTATTAAAGCTTAACCCGGATCATCTGGAGCACTTCGAGGCAATTACTGCCTCGCTGATTAATTATCGTGTACTTATAAGCACCGCCGCCTCGGAAGTGATCGCCACTGAACACGACTTTGTGTACAGACGGCGAAGGGTAAAGGCGGGGAAATTAGTCGGTTGCCCTTCGACCTGTTTGGGCTGGCGTTGTATTGATACATCAATGTCCTTCACGTGGAGCCAGGAGGTTCGGCGCTAGAGCGAACGTCCCGCACTCGGAAGGGCGCGTGTTCAATTCCCGGTTGGGGGTCGACTCAACCCATCATCCCTCGCGGGGTCGATAAAACAAATAGTATCACTACATGGGGAAGTCAACGGTGGTTGTCTTTGGAGAGACCCAAACCTGGCACAAGAATGTGGAATTTCCACCACTGGTTCAGGTCTTTGAACAGGAAATGAGCATCGCTTCGATGCTTATTTTAGCAGGACGTTTCTTGTAGTTGGTGAAGAGACGGTTGGGGAATATGGAGCATAGACGTCTGAAAGAAGTGTGCAGTACAATGGACTTGCTGTACTGCCCTTTCCCGGCCTCGCAGCAGTCAAGCAACATAACACGGTGGTCACCGATCCAAGCACTATCCAGGCTCAAACCTGCTTGGCTTCTGAGATCTCAGGAGACTGCCGGTGTCCATCGTAGGCACATCACAAACACACCTCCACCTCCTCCCACCTGCAGTAGTCACAAATTAACGCATGGAATGCAGTGCGATGGTGATATTCATAGGGAGTCGTTTTGTTAAACGACTAGCTTTACTACCCGGCGTCGCCCGGGACTTGGATTCACCACGCCCGGCCGACTTTGTCTCCCCAGTGGCGATGTTCACACACCACAGCAAGTTACTCGTTTGAGGCTGAGTCGACCTAGGGGAGGCCCAGGAACGGTTCAAATAATCGTCACCGGTGGTGGCCGTGAGCGAGAATCGAACTCGGGTCGCCGGGTTCGTAACGCAGCGCGCCAAGCACTGCGCATGCGCGGGTGACATGACAGATGTGACGTCACAGCTCACTTGCTGTGCAAAATATATGCATTATTGCGCCCCCCCCCCAAAATTTTTTTTACAAAAATCCTATTTTTTTAATGTTTGCATGGTGTACAGTCTGGAAAGTACCTACATGGCAAATTTCAAGTTTGTTGCATGTCGGGAAGTACGCTAAAAATTTGAACAGACACACATAATGACAACTTTGCCTTTAATATATATGTAGAGATGTGCCCAACCTACGGCTGCTACATATCGCGTTGCTCAATTCGTTTCAATATTCAGATGCGCATTAGATCAGATTGTGCATTAATCACCGTAATTATAATTACATATACGCATCATTAATTTGCTAATTATGATTAAGAAAACACAGCATGTATTTTGGTCGATTGGAATCGAGTGCACTGAACTTTCCTTTCCCCAACTCTAATCCAATTGAGGCGCTTGCCACGGCAGTGTGCTCATTCGATTTGACGCTATTGGACTATTATCAGCTAAACGATATTAATGAATCGAGAGTGGGTAGATGAACAAGTTGTTTCTACGTAATGCTATTTTTAACTTTAAAAAATCTATTTATGTTGTGAAAGTACATCAAGGACAAATATTTTGTTTAAAAAAAACTGGAGGATGATTAAGAGTGGACGGTTGTTCACGAGATGTTCCATCGTACTCTTTGGTTCTTTCGGTAAAGTCACGTAGGCATAAAAGAAAATAAATTAAATTAAATCACGACGTTTCGGGCGCCAAACAAGTGCCCGTCATCAGCAATTGTTGATTGCTGTGGTTGTTCCACCTGATGACGGGCACTTGTGTTGCGCCCGAAACGTCGTGATGTAATTTAATTTATTTCATTTTATACCTACGTGACTTTACCGAAATAACCAAAGAGTATTGATCCCTGCGGTCACGAAAACTTCAAATCTAGAATGTTCCATCGCTTGAAGTTGTTCACCACATTCACACTGCAGAGGGTCCCCACTTACAGTCCACTGACAATGATCGTTTCCAACGATGGGCAAGTCTTACTTTACTCTCAGCAGCGTCCTGATTATGGCCGTCTGTGTAACAGCTCTCAGTCTATTCCAATCCTGTCAACAATCACACCCAATCCTGTCAACAATCACACTCAACAATCACACTCAACATATTCGAGATCTTCCATGATCTCTCCCCTACCTATCTCTGCATATCTTACTTTACTCTCCTCCATGCACTCTCTCCTCCAGCAACAAATGCTTTTTGCTACAAGTCCAGTCGACCTATGCTCAGTCGGAGGTCACTCATTGTCCTCTGCAGTCCCCATCGTCTGGAACTCCCTTCTCCCATCGCTCATTGAACCTTTTGACTCTTTCTCCACCCGCCCACTTCTCTCTCCTTGATTATCTTCTTCTAAGATAGTGAACATCGTGGCGACACAAGCCGTGCTCAATGACAAATTGTTTCACATGCGCTGATTGCGCACAGCGCAAGGTGAAAACATCACCCCAACTATTAACGACCGCGTGCGTTCAGTCCCACAGGTGTTTTCCCGATGGCGCGGACGCTCCTGTAGAAAGTCCCCACCGTGGGAACGAGACCACCACTCCACCGAATTCTCGTCAACCACCGGGGCGCGACCGAACTGACCGGCCAGGAGGTCCCGTCCCCCAGAGACGTGGGGCACCCAAGACAGAGGGGACTCGAGTCCACACCCCGCACAGCTCACGCCGCCACCCCCGACACGAGCCATGAGACCGTCGGAAAACCTCCTCCACCCCAACTGCTCCTCCCCGACACTCCTTCCACTCGGCAACTCGTCGAGCTTCGGCCAAGAGGCGGACGCCCACGACGACATGCTGGTGACGTCCATCATGTGCGCCGTCATGTCGCTGATGTTCGTCGTCGGCGTGGCGGGCAACGTGTACACGCTCGTGGTCATGTGCCAGTCGATGCGCTCGTCTGCCTCCATGTACGTGTACATCGTGAACCTGGCGCTGGCCGATCTGCTCTACCTCTCCTCCATCCCGTTCGTGGTGTGCACGAACTTCGCCAGCGACTGGTACTTCGGCGACCTGGGCTGCCGCTTGTTGTTCAGCCTCGACCTGCTCACGATGCACGCGAGCATCTTCATCCTGGCCGTGATGAGCACGGAGCGCTACGTGGCGGTGGTGCGCCCCCTCGACACGGTCCGCCGCTCGCGCAGATATCGCAAGGCGCTGGCGCTCGGCGTGTGGGTCGTCTCGCTGCTGCTCGCACTGCCCATGATCATCATGATGGAGCTGTGCAGAGTGTACAAGACCAACGGCGAGGTGCACTACCTGTGCGTGCCCTCCTGGCGCATGAGCTCCCTCAAGATCTACCTGACCGTGCTGTTCGTCACCAGCATCCTGGCGCCGGGCCTCATCATCGGCTCGCTGTACGTGCGGCTCGCGCGCACCTACTGGCTTTCCCAGACCTCCGCCATGGCCACCAAGGACACCAAACGCTCGCCCAACCAGAAGGTGCTCTACCTCATCTTCAGCATCGTGCTCGCTTTCTGGGCCTGCTTCCTGCCGTTCTGGACCTGGCAGCTGGTGAGTGTCTACCACCCGGGCATGGCCCAATGGAGCGAGGCGTTTGTCAAATACATGAACCTCGTGGCCACGTGCCTCACCTACAGCAACAGCTGCATCAACCCGTTCCTCTACACGCTGCTGACCAAGAACTACCAGGAGTATCTGCGCAACAAGCACGGACGCGCCGCCGCCACCGCCGGCGGCGTCGGGGTCTGGGCCGCGACCGGCGCCGGCTCGGGGGCCGTCCCCGCGTGCGGGGCCCACGGATCGGAGCGACGGCAATGGCGGTCGGGGCGCATGCATGGCGCCTCGCAGCGCTCCATCTCGTCCGTCAGCCAGCCCTTCACCGAGACCATGATGGTCACGGGGCTGCGCGAGCACCACGAGCCGGCCGTGTAGACACAACGGAGAGAGAGCGCGGGGTGCCGTTGATATGCGGCTGCGGGGAGCTCTGGGTGAGAGGATGAAGGCATGCAGTGTAGCCACAGTAAAACGATAGATATTCGTTTTGTGGAAGGGCTCCTAATAATGTGTTCAGGGCCTGCGCTGTGTGATATTAATGGCTGTGGAAGAGCTCTAGACGGGGTGTAGATCTGCCACGCAGATTATTTTTCTAATCGAGAACCATGCGCACAAAAACGTCGCAACCGATTGCTAATGTTCATTGAACGTCATCGTTAGTTATGCACGTCCAAAACAGCAAACAACTGTTAGCAGAAACTCGTACTAATGCTGAAAGCCGTCATCGTGAAGGGATAAAGCAGGGGGTAACGTGTTCCAGATTGTTGTAGTGCGGAGAGTCCAAGCACTTTGTGTGGTAGCAGGGTCAGCCGGGAAACTAATTTCACGCGGCGAGATGAAGCGCGGCTGATGCACACGGGTGCGTCGACAGACGCGTGGGTTATCGTGAACGACTCGGGAAGAGCTTGAAGAGTGCAATGAGTGGAAGGTACCGATGGAAGGCAGCGGAGCGATGACGACGAGAAAGAGAGAGACACAAGAGAAGCAGAGGCAAACGGAAACACATACATCATAAAAAAACAAACTAAATAGGATTTCATTTCTGAAAACCGTTTCCCAATATATCTAGCGACAGGGCCCTGAAGGCTGCGATTATGGGGCAGCTTCTGACGATGCTGTAGAAGAGCTCCGTGTGTTAAGGTCACGGACTGATCGACGAATCATTAAACATGTCACACTGAGTTCCTCCTGCTTCTTATGCTGGCCAGGAACTCCCTAGAGTTACTGCCATCTGCATATATAATGATGCATCGATGCATCATCATATATGCACGGAACTTGCATCGAATCATGCATGCGAGCTTCGATAAAAAAAATAGTATGAATACGTTGTGTATAATTGGTTTAGGTAAAGCCATGCGCCAGCTGAGGCACTAACTTCAGAACCTTTGCAAAAAAAACCGTACTTTCTTTTCAACTGAATTGCTATCCTGAATTGTGAAAAGTCACCAAATCTTTATTTTGCTCACTGCAAACTCAAAACACATGTACACTCTCACCAGAGTGAATATCAGCAAAAATGTCCCAGATAATAATCTTGAGTAATGAATGCCCAAATGTTATTCTACGTGAAGGTTCAGATGGGTTTCGCCTCTGGTGGCTGTGAATTGTGGAGACCAGATTGGTTTAAACCACGAATGGCATTGCTTGACGACACTAACCAGGTAAAGGTGCAACCCTGCAATTTCCTGGTCAAGCCACCGCTTGCACAAGGGCCCCCTGCGAGTGGGAATTCTGGAGAGGTGATTTGGCGCATGTTTCCATTCAAGCTAAATATGTTGGGCGAGGTGGGCATTACCCACGACCCCACCACACCCGATCTGCCGATCGACTGTAGTTGCATCCATTCATACCGCTGGGAGGGGGTGGGGAGCAGAGGTGGTGATGGGGGATTTTATACATTTGTAGTGGGCTAATTCGGAGACACTAGTAGGAGGCACTCTCTCTTGTTCATTCTGGACTTCACAGCCTTAGGGGATAACTACACACTGGGTTGGGACAGCCAACATGCTGCCAGACCCACGGCAGCACGACGAGTTCCACCCCAGATGGCAGCAGCCCCGACTGTGAGTCGGAGCTCGTCTTTTATCCTGCCCAGCGTGGCCAGGCTCCGCCCTCGGCCACGCCCCCTTCTGGATCCCCCAGAAGGCTCGGCGCTTGGCCCACGGGTCCAACTGGTAGAGCGGGCTGCTACCTCCAATCCCATTGGCTACCAATCTCCCAGCACCACGTGCTACAGTGACTCATTCAATGTCACTATACATTTGCACCGTTGCTTCAACTGCTGGCCAAAGGAACAAATCAAACCTTCTTGGTTCTTTCGGTAAAGTCGCGTAGAAGGGAAATAATAAAATAATAAAAATAAAACATAATAAAATACAATTCTCACGACGTTTCGGCCACAACGCAAGTAGCCGTCCTCCTGTTCTTCACCAGAGGACGGCTGCTTGCGTTGTGGCTGAAACGTCGTGATAATTTTATTATGTTTGCAGTCACGAAAGCTTTAAATCGGAACAAATCAAACTTTTGACCTCTGGACTGTGCTGACCGTTACACCACTGCAGCAGCCCCCACTACCCAGGAAGTGATATTCTAAATTATTAGTGCCAATGGGAGACAGATGAAGACCGCCAAAGTTAAATGCTGAATAAAACACAATTGTTTGAGATAAAGTTTGGAATTCTCGCTGATAAATAGCTTAGGGTTGTTTGGCACTGGGTATGCTGAATATAAAACAAGACTCTGGGTCCGATTCACATGCTGGCGGACGTTTATGTTTTATCATAGTTTTCGTGTAAACGTGCCAACTACTTTATCTCCATCACAAATAATGAGGGAAATTTGTTGAGCCAACGCAGATCATCCCTGTGGTCAAGATGAGAATCTGGCCCTAAAAGTAGAAATTGTATATACAGCGTATCGGTACAAAATGAGATAAAAAAGAAAAAAAAATACATATTTTTCTTTGTACTGGCAGTGGAGCACAATCTGAAATGACAAAAAAAAACTCAGCTCAACTGTCAGCAACACTGCCCGCAAAGGAAAAAAAAGCGATATAATAGGTGGCATTTCCGGCAGTGGCCCATTTTCACGACTAAGAGATGAAGGACTTTTGCCTGAATCGTCACCGATATCACCGATATCACACACACACCTTTCCCTCGCTCGATGCGGTAGTAGTGGTAGATGCGGTCCAAACTAAGGGCGCACAAAGCGAGACCCGCACGCGAGACCGCTGCCTTCCGAGTAGCGCACACAGCAGACACACAATGTTTCCCTTCACGTCCGAACGCATAGCCACGTGTGAGTGAATTCAAACAGCACGGAGGAGCGAATTATTATTCTGGGCAGAAATAATTTCGCCGCATATCCATGAAATGGCACGAACTGAAGCCACATAACGCGAGGGAAAGCTGTATATATTGCCTCTTTAGGGGTTTGTAATGACCAAATGCGTTAATTGTTTTTGTATTATTGAAGTGCTCCAAGCAACGTAAGGGGCCTCGGGGGGGAGGGATAGCTGCTCGGTGTTTTCTGAAAATTGGGCGGCCAAGCCAAATACCAAGCCCCCTCATTTACCTTCAAGGGCCTCCTTGGCTATCTGCCCCCCCCCCCGTCACCTCACCTCCGATCACAACTTGAAAATAGTTTCCACATGCCTGGTCTGTTGTGTAAGCTATCCTACACGTGCTGCGGCATCGTATATATATGTGTGTGTGTCATTGGCATTGTGGGATACACACCGCCCCCCCCCAAAAAAAAACCCATAACGCGCTGCGCACACTTTTTGACAACCGTGTAAGCGAATTAACGTGGCTTGCTGAACGTGCACGACGGTTCCAATTCTGATGTGCTGCTGCTGCTGCATGACTTTCAATCGCACCTAGTGGCCTAATAATGTGCAGTCAAAGCCAACGGTGGAGCCCTGCGATTGCTTGCTGTAGCTACTGTTGGATGAAGGACCTCCCCCACGAGACGGAGCTCTCGACCGCAGTCCCGAAATACCCTCGCAAGGACAGCATCGAGTGCCCGGGATGAAAAAAAAATCCTGTCCCAGATTGGTGATCGTTAATCCCTGCGGATAGATTCCACACTGTCTGCCTTCTTCTTGGTTCTTTCGGTAAAGTCACGTAGAAGGGAAATAATAAAATAATAAAAATAATTCTCACGACGTTTCGGCCACAACGCAAGCAGCCGTCCTCAGGTGGAGAGCAGGTCTGTCATTCAGACGCTGTCTCCTCGACAGACCTGCTCTCCACCTGAGGACGGCTGCTTGCGTTGTGGCCGAAACGTGAGAATTATTTTATTATGTTTTATTTTTATTATTTTATTATTTCCCTTCTACGTGACTTTACCAAAAGAACCAAGAAGATGAATCCCTGCAGTCACGAAAGCTTTAAATCGAAACTGTCTGCCTTATCAGGCATACTACCAGTGGAGGCGCAGCACCGACTTGATCCCGGGCATGTGCTCCCCGACTCCACACCCCTCTCCTTATTGTTTCTAGAAATGTCACTGCCCTCCCCCCCATCCCTGCTGTGTAAAAGTAGTCTTTAAATAGTCCCCGGACAATGTGTCATCTGGTCACCAATTCATACGCCCGCCACGCCAGCTAAATAATAAACACAATGAACGTGTACTGTACTTATTACTGTAGCACTTACAGCCTACCAATATGAATCAGCAACCAGCCGACAGCCTAGCAGCTCACGTGGCCCAAAGGGCAATGCCACCCACGCCCACAATCTCACCCTGCCACGAGGCAATCATCTGTACATACGAAAGTGCCGCGCCATTTACTGCCGCAGTTGTACCTGCTCAGAATGTGGCCGGGTGGCTCACGTGACGTATTTGTGACGTATGAGGGCACTGAGCTTGCACTGCTGAGCTCCTGGCTTTGTGTTTAAGTAGCCAACTGGGAATAAGCTGAGTTCTCAAGTGTAGTGAGTGGCTGGTCTTACTCCGATCATCAATGACTCCCCAATAAACCCGCCGAGTTAGAGGGGTTTTTTTTGCTTAATTTTGATAAAAATTCGATTTCCATGAGAAGAACACCTCTATAGCTTTGGTCACGGCGAAAAGGTGGTCACATTTCAAAAGTCATGAATGCAAAAGTGACGCAATCAACTGCAAATTGCAAAAATAATCCTTTAACATTTTCATCTGAATTACTAGCATTGAAACGTGCAAATACATTGATCGATAAGAAGTCTTCGTGGCACGAGATGAATTATGCCAATGTCAAATAAAAATGATGGAAGGGACTTTATTGGCGAAAACACAAACACAAAATAACTCGCAGCATCCATCACAAACACTGCATTATTAAAGTAAAACTTTTTTTTATGTAGAAACATAGCATCTTTAAAACATAGCATGCATGCGCGTAATTTCCGCCCACAAAATGAATATCACTCACGGTTGAATTAAAACCGTGTACGCTGCTTGCTGGCGGATTATTATTAATTGGGGCGATGGCTTGAAGTGGTCCGACACAACCACCCACTCTCCGCGCAACAAACACCCAGCGTGACACGGCACCCATACAGACACCCGCCCTCCCTGCGCCCAGAGGTCCAAGTCCCCTCCATTCATTCGCCTTGTCACATGCAAAGGTTAAACTCGATGTCCCGTGCCTGAAATTAATGACGGTGGGAGTGGTGATCATGGGACCACTGCCACAGGGAAGCTTTACGGACCCAATTCCAGCTGAACCTGCACGCGTGTGTGCTGTTGGCTGCAATGCTAGCTCAAGTGCAGCTTTAATTATCAGCATTATGCTTCGAATTCTGATCTGTTGTCCAAAGGTATATGTTACTGTAAAGGTCGTGTGTTGAATGTGCTACATATATTTCATGGTATAAGTCTGGTTGCCATGGATTGCAACCAGAGGACATTGTAAAAATACTGTATGGAGTGTTTAAAAAAAATTGTATTTCTCAATTAGGCTAAGCTACAAAAATCCTGGATTTGCATCTGGGTTTCAGTGATTAAACTGGGCCCTCTCCTTTAGACGGGTGATAGTTTCAGCTCCGCTACCGATAACAGCACACATAAACGGCATCGTATTAAATAAGCCTTTTGACTTATCTCGGCTTATACGAGCTCTTCACGGAATTCAAATGTATCAGTTTTTATTGACATGGCTACACCCTTTGCAGGTCGCTTCTGCAGTGCGCTCCCAGTGCAGAAAATGAGGCCAGGGCACACCACTAATATCAAATGTACAATATCCAATAATTACCATGTATAGTATCCCACCGAGGAACATAGCAATTATAATAAACGTCTATTGGGTGATTGGCATACAGGGAACCACTCTTTACGGAGCTGTTGAAGAAGTGCCGTTTAGTGGTGGTGAAAAAAGCCTGTTGAAGTAGCTCCTATTAAATAGGTCCTGTGGCATCAGCTTCAGCAGTGAAACGGAAATGTTTTTACTCGGGTGGGAATGATTTATTAAATGTGTGATTCATATAAAAAAAATCCACTTCACAGTTTATTTAGAGAATTAGAGGTATCGGAATAGATTTTTCAAATTCACGTGTACTGTAAAATTTACTGTATATTCGTTACTCTTGCAGACACTCGAGGCGATACATTCACCGAAATAATAAAAGCGTACTGTATATTATTCTTGATCCCACCGAATCGCAATCCTGACTTTCGAAAATTTATATAATCGCATGGAGAGGCAGTGAATATTCCACCCCTAGTTTTTTTTTTCAGTTCTTATTATTAATCGCATTATACAACAAATATTAATTTACATGCCTTCATCAACCCACTGCTGGATGAAGGCTTTCCCGTGGTGTGTCGGTCATGGAAGTTATTTGGTAAGTGTGGGTTGATGAAGAGGGCGGCGTGGGTTGCAGATGGCCTTGGGAGCTGTCCAGACATAGGACCCCACTGGTGATAGCTGTGGCCTAGAATCGAACTTAAGTTTGCGGGTTCATAGCGCCGTGCACTAAGCAGCGTGCCACTGCTGCGCCACTGTCATATCGAGGTGTAAAGCCATCACACGAACCAATTGGATTTAAGAAAAAAACTGCTACTTATAGGATTGCCAATAACCTCCAGTGCCACGCTGTATAATGCGCAGTTCATTAGCAGTATACAACAGTAGCAGCCGAATGAACAAGATTAGTGCGGGCACTGCCTTGGGGTGCAGACATCCTAGCTGTCTCCGACAGCTCTGCGGGTCACTGCAAACTTCCCTCTGCTCTATTCCCTTGTGCACACGCGGGGTGGGGGGGGGGGATCATGAAATCAGCAAGAGACGTGGAGACACACGGAGTGAGACGGATGCTGGAGAGAGACATGGGCAGAGAGACACAGAGACAGACACTCCCTGCG